TATATATATATATATATATATATATATATATATATATATATTTGGTTATTCACTGCAAGGTCTGTTCAACAGAGAGCACTATGATGTAAAACGTATTCTGGGATTCTTAATCTCTCTGTATTTGTGTGCTGTGCTGTGTAAAGGATCTGCACATATGTAATTGCTATTCATATCTTTCATTGTAGCCTTTTGGGTTAAGAATGGGTTTATGGTTTTCCAAACAGGAAACAAAAACGACATACATACCGTTAAATACCGTATGTACTATACTAGTGATTATTAACATATTAACAAACGACCAATGTGGTCTTATAGGGATTTGGAGGACTTGTTGTATTTAAGGGTATTCGCTAAAGGGTTGTCACACATTTTTGTTTTTGCTGCTGCAGTTACATTAGATTTGGCAGTCATCGTGACGCTAGCACTGCTGTCTACAGACACAAGGAATGTTACCCACCATCTATTCCTCATCAACTGCCGTGTCATTTAATTATTCTCTCACTTAGTTCAATTGATGGGTCATTTTATGTGTTGATTCAACAGTTAGGTTTTGTATTTACTATGTGTATGTGCTACCCCAATGTCTACTTTCAGGCTTTTTTGTATACGGTGTATAGAAGTGACAAGAAGAACTAAAACCAGATTGTGGCTTGGGGCCACTGTGCATGGGGCCCTTGATGGTTTGGGGGTAGTTGTTCTACTTCGCTAATCGATGCATGCATCTGTTTTGCTCTCCCTCTCTGCTGCTTTACCTGCATGGGGTTAATGCTGTTTATCTGAATTTCCTTACTTTAAAATGTAATGCCCAATAGAGATCCTCGAGTAATAGCAGCTCAACGTATGTTTGAGTAAATGTACTTAATTAGTTACTTTCCACTGCTGTCCTCGGATATCTAAAACGATATGAATGAGCTCTTCCTGTTGTCTATTTAAACTAAGATGGGCGTAGTGTAGCACGGACATTTTCCATTGTTTTTCAGAGGTACATTTTTTGGGGATATTCTTTGAATTTTTACATCAAATACAAAGTAAGATTTCATATCTTTTTATTTCTTTTTTGGCAGACATCCACGATGAGAATGGGTTAAAGCCAGTCATGGTTTACATCCATGGAGGCTCCTACATGGAGGGAACCGGCAACATGATCGACGGCAGCATCCTGGCCAGCTACGGGAACGTCATCGTCATCACAATCAACTACCGGCTCGGTGTTCTGGGTGAGTCCACCAATCCCAGGCTTTCATTACTGTGGAGAAGGCTGATTGAGTCAGAATGAGAGTTATTGATTAAATGAGTGATTCACCAGCTGGATGGTCTTTGTGTGAAGGAAAGATATGGTGGACGACATGTTGCTTTTTGGGTGTACATGCAGTGAGGGGGACAGTGGAAACCTTGTAAAGCTCTTTGATTAATCTTTGCTAACTTAAGTTAAACTGAAAACACATTAATGGTCTGTATGTCAAAATATATTTATCATTTCATTCTTACAGAGCAGATATATACTGCAGCAAATCAAGCAGATGAATTCACTCCGATGTTTGATGTATTCTTGATTGCTTGCATGGTTTGTGGGCTTTTGTGCTTCTCTCCCCTGGTGCTATTCAGCTGCTAGTGGCAGTGCAGGAGATAGTTTGCATTCTTTGCTTTATTTCAAATGGTTGTATTCAAACGCAGCCTCGATTGACCCTCAAAGCACAAAGTTGTGCCACACAAATGAAGTGAAGAGTCTTACATTTGTAGCGTTTTCAATTACTTTAATCACTCTGCAGCATCAAACATCCAGCAGCCTCAACATTTCCATGCCTGGAAAATTGATCCGTTGTGATGCGAGCCGGTATCTACACCACAGTGCTGTGCATCTTATTTTTGTCCCCTCTGTCAGATGAAAGTGGTTTCTGGATCACGCAGGAATACTTTATCTTGCCTTTGACGTAAAGGTTCGGCTTCTGAATGTCTGCTGCCCGAGAAAAAAATGTCGCAGTCTGAGAGGAGGCTGATGACATCAAATGTTCTGAGGGAAAGAGTTTTGAGATTCCAGCTGAAGGGAGCATAGCTGTGGCCGTTCTCTGGCAGAACATCAGGCCTCTTCTGATCAAAAGAGCATTTAAAAAGGATTCTCAGAAAGTTTATTTTGCCCATTCTAAGTGTAACCTCTAAATGATGTGGAAAACAAGCATATGAACCCATCTTTCTCTTTCTAAAGAGAGATATTTAGGAACACAGACGTAGCTGGGCAAAGCTTATTTCTGCTGTAAATCTGATGTAGGCTGCTAAAGAAGCATCTCTCACATGTCTGAAAAGTAAAGAAAGAGTGAGTCCTTAGCCACAAGCTAAAGAAGAAACCATTACACATGCTCCAGAATTGCAGTCACACTTCCCTGTGCAAGATGGAAGGCTGTACGGGAGGAAATAGCAGTCAGCTCAACAAAAAACTGAGCAGTTGATTCAAGAAAATATCACTTGAGTTTAGCATGAGCTGGGAACTTGTAGAAAGTTCTCACATTCTAACATGAATAGTGATGTGTGAGGCCTCTCCCAGGCCAACAGTGCCTGTTGGGAATTAAAAAGACTCATTTCCTACACAATAGCAGCACATATTCTACTGCTGATTCTCCCAGACAATCAGTTACCAACTAAACATCCTAAAGGTGAAGAAATCTAAGCTGAAACTTTCTACAGCATCCAAATGAAATGCAAAATAAGTCATTTGTTCATGGCCTCTAGTAAGACAACAAGCATTTGCCAATCTGCTGCACAGCTAAATGGAAATCATTTAGCTGTGCCTTCCAGAACTATTTTTTTTAATTATAATACATTGCTATGATAAAATGTGCAATGTGTAAGATCGGGCCGGAATATTAGTTAAAACATTCAAAAAAAAAGGAAGTGACATGAGCATGCTAACCAGCTAGCCGCGGCTGTCCTGTCCTGTAATACTTGATGATGGAACTGATGGATGGAAATGATGGCGTGTCTTACATACATATCAAAATAAACTTCTGTGTTCACAGGAGATGTACACTTTTTGCCGGTTACATGTTTAAAGTGTGTTTGCAAAATAACCTTACAATGTAGTATGACTTAGTTTTTAGTTTTACTTGCTTAGGTTTAGGCAACAAAAGTACTTGGATAGGCCCCAAGAGATTGTAGTAATGGTTATAAGTACGCTTGTTCTGTAGCTCAATAGACAATATGGACTGAAGTCATGCTATGAACGGAGGAAGGAAATAACTCTGGCTTCAGCTATTAGTGCATTTTACAACTTTAGGGACCTAATGAGGGCTATTCAAGTGTTACTACTGAGAAGTTGGTTAACCAGAAAAAAATGATCCACTGAGTTACAGCGTTCCCAATGTAAGTCTGTAAGTCTATTTTTTTTTTGGGCACCATAGCATTAGGTGACGTACCCGGAAACTGCAATTCCACTATTGGCCACTATGTAGAATTAGCTTCAAAGCCAGGCACTCTTCCTGAGCATCTGCATCATTTTGCGAAAATGCATATGAGTGGGTAAGAGGCTGAGAGATGAAACCACGCCCCCTTCCGTATAACGAAAGCCTCAATGCTGCGTCAACAAACACAACGGCTATAGTAGCATGGGGCACTACACTTGATGGATTTTCTGTTTATCAGACCACAAGTGAGACAAGAATTACCCTCTCCAGTTTGCTGTTCTACTCATTGTCTGTAACCAGTGTGACATTAACATGAAAACGTGGTGGAATTAGCACGCTAACGTTAGCTAGATAACTGTCCTGCCACTAAAGTCAAATGTAACAACTTCATCTACACACTCATCTTAGCATAGGAAAGCACATTGCTAACGCCAGATAATCAATCATTAACACTGATTTACCAGATTTCATAATGTGCTGAATGCTGATTTTTAAAATACATTTGTTAAGAAATGTCAATATTACCACCAGCATGGATGTGTTTCAACAAAGTACAGCTAATTAATTTAGTTTATAGTTTAAAAAACATCTAAGTGTGCAGTTACTCTTTAATAGCAATATAACTGTAGCATGTAGCGTTGTTCTGGTTTAAGCTGTGCATTTCTGTTTCTCTTCATTGTTTGCAGCTAGTTGATGTATCTGCTACATGGCTCATAAGAAGTGTCGAAGTGAAGCCACAGTACATCTGTACGCTCCTGCTACCATCGGCGCCACTCTGCTCTGCTTACCATTTGTTATAAGGCCGAGCTGTCTGCGCCAGTCACTATATTTAGTTTCCGGAGAGCCGGGGGGAAAAGGTGTTCTGAAAAAATGTGCACTGCAGAGAGGAAAAAAGAGGTGAAGAGAGAGAGAGAATGCAGATGAGGATAGAGGCAGAGACAGGAAGGGGAGTGGAACAGAAGGAGAGAAAAACCAGAGTGACAATGTAGAAGATGGGATCTTGTTAGGCTGCAGATTTTGATGTAAAAACACACCCGTCCCCAAATCACAAAGTGATTGTGGCTCTGACAGAAAAGAGTGTTCCATCTCCACTAATTGACACACAGTAGATTCACTCTGTGCGCTCATATACAATTCTTGTGTCAGTGCAGTCACTGGAGGGAAGCCATCTGTGTACAGAAAGGTGACAAAACACAAGACTGTAAGCCCCAAACAGCATTGAGCAGTGTGCTTCCAAACAGAACTAGACTCATTGGTGACTCTCTGGTCCCTTTGGTAGCTTGTTATATCTTAGCTTTTCTAGTTGCCATCATTTCTACCAATCATTATAATACTGTACTAACCTCACTCTGTAATTTTTTCCATAATGGCATGGCAACAAAAAAGAAGTTTACCATGAGGTAGAGGTACTGGTTCACACAAAGTACAGTCATCTGCAGCTCACAATTTATCTATCTTCTTTCTCCCTGACTCAGGGAGGCACTAGTTGTACATCAGCTGTAAAGGGGCCCTGTATCAAAATCTAGTTTTGCAGATGGCCTTGCCCACCATTGATGTCAGCGGACTTGGAATTTTTAACATAAGAAAAGTCGGGGAACAAATTTACGAGACATTGGTGTGGCAAAGATATTGTACAACACCAAGATTACCGACTTGCTCATCTAATTGCGGCAATGCTTGAGTGTGTAACAGAGCACTCCTCACACGGTGTCTGGAGGTTGCGGTTGGAATGATTCCAGCAGATACCTCCAGCCGCTGTGGGTAAGGTGCTAACATGCAGCACTGCCCCATCACAGTGGGAATACACTGGGATGAGGCGGACATGTTGTGCGGAGGGTCGACGGGCCCTACCCAAAGAGCAGCTTCCGACGGCGTCCGTGCTGGCGGGCTGATACATCAAGAAGGGGAGTGTAAATTGAGTGAGAGAAGTCATCAGACACTCGTCACCCTCCACCACTTCAACCTCACACACCCTGTTGGACAGCTGTATCGCTTACACTGTTTCCCTCAGCTCACTTTCCTCGGGTTGACTCAGGCACAACATGCACTACTATACCCGGTGCACGCATAGACGGATACAGCGAGGGTGGAGCCAGATAGAGTTACTTTCTCTTCCTGTTTATTTGCAGAATATTGTGGAACATCTATCTGGGGCTAAAATCAATATGCAAAAAAACTAAAATATGTCACCCTAAATATCGTTTACAAACAACTATGACCAAGGAAAATCAAGTCAACGACATGTACACACAGACAAGAGATCAGCTTGTCCTCTTCAAACTGCTGCATGATTCAGCAGCACTGTAAATAATCAGTTTAGCACCAGAAAGAGGTGTTATTTATTCCACCAACTGCAAGATGGATGTTCGAATCATCGGGTACAGGGTGGGATGGTTGTGAAAATATGGAAAAAAATTTTTTATTTGACTCAGACTTGGTCAATAACAATAATACGTTAAATTCTAATCGTCAAGATCAGTTTGATTTAGAGCATGAGATAATCCAAAGCAGTGTGCATTAAAGGATCGGTGGCCACAGAGAATGCTCCATTCTCATTGGCTGGAGGGTGTGTATTGATCTCTACTGCACAGCTGCAGCTAGTGATCACGTTCTATATTATAATTAATATATAGCTTATATACAATGTGAAACTGAAAATATTTTTTGTTGGAAACAGAATGCGGAAGGTTATGTTTAGGGACTGGCAGGACTTGGACGGCCATGCTCATGTGTCTAACACAGCAGAGACACCTGTCAGCAGTGCGCTGCCTAAAAAGTTCAGGTTCTCGTAGTCCTGATCTCTTGTACCCTACTACTGGTGC